TCCTCAGAAGGAAGGTTGGGCAATCTACTTCTGTAGTGATACTGCCTCGGAAACCCAAGGAGGGGTCGCTATGAGTCGGGTCTGACTCAACGGCAAACAACAACAACAGGATTTCCAATACAGTGTTGAATAGAAGTGATGATACAGGGCATCTGGTTCCTGTTTGCAAGGGGAATGGTTTCAGTCTCTCTCCATTGAGAATAATGTTGGCTGTTGGTTTTGCATATATGCCATTTATTATGTTGAAGAATCTACCTTGTATTCATATTTTGCTAAGAGTTTTTATCAGGAATGGGTGTTGGATTTTATCAAATGCCTTTTCTGTATCAATTGATATGATCATGTAGTTATTTTCATATGATTTATTTATGATTGTTCTGGTTACCAAGTGCCACTCTGACAGGAATATACAATAAATGGGATGGCCTTAACAAACGGGAGTTTATTCTCTCACAGTTTGAAGACTTTAAGTCCAAGTTCAAAGTGCCAGGCTCTGGGGGCTGGGTGAAAGCCCCTCACTCAGCCTTGGGTTTCAGCTCTGCCTCCAGCTCCCGACCCACTGAAGCTAGAGGCTTTTCTTCACTCAGACAGCTGCTGGCTGCTGAGGCTGCCAAGCCCAAGGTTGACAAGTAAAAAGGCACAGTCCCAATATTACCAAATCACACGGCAGGCCATTAATTCAAGTCCATTGTAAGTCTCAAGGTTGGCAGAGCATAGCAGGCTGCTGAGCAACAACATGGCTATATGCAGGGTTCAAGGTGCCATAAGCTAGAGACCATTCCCAAAGCTGCTGCTTATATACAGAAAGCAGACAACATCCCAAAGACAGCTACTCAGCTGTTGGTGGTAGATCCCACTGTGGAGTTGATTGCCAGTCTCATCATGAGGAATAACTACCGCTAGCTGCTCAGCCACTCAACCAGGCCCAGCCAAATTGACACACAAACATAACCACCACAAGGATACTATTTGCCACTGGAATCATTGTCTTCCAGTTTTTTTGTTTTAATTTTTATTGTGATTTGGGTGAAAGTTTACAGAGCAAATTCATTTTCCATCCAGCAGTTCACATACATTTTGTTTCATGACATTGACTGTAATTCTGCACAATGTAAGTAAGAGCTCTCTTCCTTGTGTCCTTCTTTCCTATGTGTTCCTAACCTTTGAGCTATTTCCCTGTGCAAATACTTCCCTTCTATTCTCCCAAGATTCATCATTCTAAGAAGTGTATCAACTTGATGTAAATGTTCACCCTATACACCTGTCTATTGTTTGGCTGGAAGCCACAGGAGTGAGTTCAATTCCAGACATGAGTGATCAAGCTTTTTTTTTTTTTTTTTTTATCTTAAATACATGGATGCAAATCAAATCAAAGTATTGAATGTCTTTTATTTCTTCATCACTTAAATTTCTGCTGTGTACCTTAGAGAGAACACTTACATTTTTCAGTCAAAAACTTCAAGTTTTCCCAGTTTATCAGCTGGTGTGTGTACCTCCAAACCACTGATTAAGGAGGAACAGGAGGAGGAGAAAGATGCCTGGCTGCCTCCTGCCTTGTGCACATCCTCTGGCATTTCTTTCTTTCTTTTTTTTTTTTTTAATTTTATTTTGATTTGGGTGAAGATTTACAGAGTAAATTCACTTTTCATACAGCAGTTCACATATACTTCGTCTCATGTCATT